CCCCTGGGGCCATAGCTGAATTCCGAAAGGTACTATCAAATTCCTAACAACGTCCATCTTTCCTTAGCCAAACTAGAAACAATTCCCTGGGGCAAACCGAGCTTCGTCCCGTTTACCATGATATCAATTGTAGAAGCCGGCCTACGGTTTCCCATCCAACCACTCCTTTGTGAATTCCTTAGGCAAACAAGGCTCTGCCCGACCCAACTCTCCAAAATACTTATAGGATAATAAATGGCATCACCGAGCTAAACCGTTGGCTCCGTCTCAACCTCGGATTGGCTGAGTTATTTCACTAATACTCGCTCGGCCAAAATGATGACGATTGGGTGTATTATTTAAGGATAAGAAGAGGACGAGAAGAAATTATAAAAAACACACCGGATAAAAACTTGAATGACGGTGACTTCTTTTTGGTTTCTGGAAATTTTGAAGACCAAAAAGTCTAGATACGGGCTATGACATAAGCTGGAATAAAGGGACTGTCGGTAAGAATACTCCGGTTCACTTTTTCTTTGTTGTCCCCGCTTACTAACCGTGCTAACCCTTGTCTTTCTTCTGTGTAGACTTAAACCAGCTTAAATCAAACTACCCTTACGCCAACCAAGACACTCTTCGGGCCGCGCTCCGATATCGTCACCGTGGTTGGGCTGAACTGCTTAACTTCGAACTGACTTACAGATACAGCGGAATAAAGAAAACCAGAGTCACCGACTTCCTTTTAGAGCCTTCCCTAGAGCCAGATCCCACTATTCCCCAAATCAACCCGATCCCTCTAACAAAAGAATAAGAAATGGCAAAGAAAAGAGCCGTGCGAGCACTTATCACTGAACAAGCCGCTGTTGAAGCGCAAACCAGGATGGAGTCGTCTAGCCATCCTCGCGAAACCGTGGTTGCCCTTCCAACTGCCAGGGCCTCCACATCTCGGCCGAACAAGCGTGTACGCACTGTTTCGACCAAGCCGTAGCACCTGGTCGACGAGGACATTGTGTTTCTTGAAACCACGCGGCCGAGCCTTGAGACCGTGCATTCTGACCGAGCGAGCCCTTTAGAATGGCTACCAAAAATTACCTACATGAACCGTGCTATATCTAGTACAGACTCAGTGGTTGCTGATAAAGGCCATACACTTGCCTTCAATCTAGCCAAAAGTGTGTGTCTGCTAGCAGACATGGAGCACCACGACCACCTAACCGAGCTCAAGGCCATCCGCTCAACAACTAAAACTATGGTGCATGTAAGCGCCCCCCATCATTTATTCTCCATTTTATTCGACCTGTTTGCTCGATTTGAACATAATCATTACTTCTCCTGGTGCAGGCCATGCAGAAAAACCAGATCGCCCATATGCGCGTGCTAGAGCTTCGAAAGACGGCACAGTTAGCCATGGCAGACACCAAAGCAAAGGCGGCCGAGCTGAATGAGGCCAGAAACTGATGGTCGAGCTCGAATCTAAAAATGCACAGCTCGTCGAGCTAGTCAACGTGGTGGAAGCCTACAAGCAAAAGGCTTTGGCTGAAAGAAAAAACCGCTATCTGCGCGGAAGGAGTCCGCGTTTCTCCAACCAATAGAAACCCAGGATTGAGTCATCAAACCAATAAAGAGCCTCCACGTGGGAAATTCAACGTCACTTCAAGCTTTCCTCATTAACATAATATATCCCAACAAACACCAACGATCGACTCAGTAGAGAAAGAGAGAGAGAGAGAGAGATAGACAGTTGAGAAAACAAACTAAACGAATTTTCTCGTTTCTTCGTTTTGCTTGCATTCTCTTTCTCTCTGTCGCATTCGATCTTGCATTTTCAAGCACTTTCTCGTCAGAGAAAGTTTTCATAGCTATTCCCGATCTGGTGATTCTGGTGGCGTTTGCAAATGAAGTCTCACGGTGCCGGACTACGCCGTGTTCTGGTGCTCGCTTTTTGCGTCGCTGGCATTTGGTTAGCTTATATTTACCAAGGAGTCCTTCAAGAGACTGTGTAAGTCCTCCCTCTCTCTCTCTCTCTCTCTCAACTCTAATTTGATCTTTGGTCTCGCTGATCAAGTGTAGTTTTCGAATTGTTGTAATTTCAATTCCCTAGATATCAATTTCAATTGTTTAGAGTCCTAAGGCTAGAAATTTTAGAATTTACATATTTGAATGCTTTTAGTTTGTAAAAATTCATTGTTGATTAATAATAATGATTAATATTTGTGTTGATTGATGGCTTAGTCATTATCATCTTATGAATATACCACTCTTTAAAAATTGTGATTTCTACATTCATAATGGCATGACTTGTGCATTGCATTGACGACCATGATGATCTCACTGCAAGAATTTGTTTCCCCAAAATTTAAGTTACACCTTCTTCTGGGTATATTTGTGGTCTCCTAAATTATTCATGAAGATTGATATATATATTTATTTATTTTTTTTTGTAATTGTTATGAAACCCTTCAGGTCCACCAAGAGATTTAGCCCAAACAAAGAAAGGTTCGAAAGCCTAGCATTTCTGAATCTGGCACAGAGTGTAGTTTGTTTCATTTGGTCATTTATTAGTAAGTTTTTATATTTTTATATTTTTTTTAATCTTAATCTTGTTTCTTGTCTGTGTGATTTTTCCCCTTTAGTTGGATTCAGATGTTACAGTTAAGTAATTAGTTTAGTGTGCTGTTATGGGTCAGTGATAAAGCTTTGGTTCAGTGGTAGTAATGGCGGTGCTCCATGGTGGAGTCACTGGAGTGCTGGCATTACAAATACAATTAGCCCAGCTATGGAGATTAAAGCTTTAAAGCACATCAGTTACCCTGCCCAGGTATTTTCAATTTGTTTTCATATTTGACACTTTCTATGCAACTCTTTTTATCTATTTGTTGAAAGTTTAGCCCTTCGCCATTATCAATGTCACTTGGGAAAATTGTACGATTTTGATACAATTTTTATACCCAATGATACCAAAATCTCACAAGTGAACCAATGAGCCAACCTCTCTACAATGTAAACAATCAAGGATAATACCCATTTTCAAACCATAGTTACCTATCAGGCCAATGAGGGGCCATTGCTTGCTCTGCAATGGTGAAAGTTTAGGTTGTCAACTGTGAGGACATGGGTTAACTTTTGGTGCTCGACGGCATGCAAAAATAGGTGAAACAAGGCATATGAAGGGTGGAATAAAAACTAGGCCATGAGTTGAATCTAACGACGCGAAAATGAGGTGAAACGGAGTTACTACTAAGGAGATACAAGTACTTGAATGTGGATTTAAATATGAAAATTTTGTCCAAAGAGAGAAAAATCTTATTTTTGGCTAACTTTCGGAATTCTGATGTAGGGCCGACCCTGGGCATAGGCCCACTAGGCCATGGCTTAGAGTCTCTCAGGCCCCGTTTGTTTTGGGTTATAGCAAGGGGATTAGGATTACTAAGACATTGAGATTAGTATATGAGGTGTTTGTTTTGAGAGATAGCCTTGGGACTATTAATACCTTGGGACTAACTAATACCTTAGTATTACTAATACCTTGTTTGTTTTGAGAGATAGGGAGGGTACCACTAATACCTTGGTATTACTAATACCCTTGGGGAGGGGATTCATAGTGAGGAGGTAGAGATGGTATTAGAAAAATAGTGAGGGGATTAGAAATTTTTTTTTATTTTTTATTTTTTATATATTGGAAATTTTTTAAAAAATATAATTTTTAATTTTTTATATTTTTTTATTTGTTTTATTATTTTATATAAAAATAATTTAACAATTCCTCACTACTAATCCCCTCACTATCAATCCCCTCACTACTAATCCCCTCACTATCAATCCCCTCACTAACAATCCCCTCATTATTAATCCCCTCACTATCAATCCCCTCCATTCTATCTCTGAAAACAAACGACCCTCACTATTAATCTCCTCACTATCAATCCCCTCCATTCCATCTCTGGAAACAAATGGGGCCTCAAAATACACACAAAAAAGGGGCCCTCTCCTATTAAATTTAACGTAATATATTAGGTATGTTTTAAGTCCAAAAAAAATTAAAGAAGACCCAAACTAACTTAAAATAAATTGAACCATTGAAAAATTAAAAGGCTCATTCAAAATTAAAAAGGCCCACTCTCTCTCCCTATCTAATTCCTAACCCTAACTCTTTTGACACAATTTTTTTGTTCTTTACCTTCAATTTTTTTTTTTTTGTTGTTGAATAGAAAAAAAAATGTGAAGGACCCCAAATAATCTAGTGATATTTATTAGTTTATTATTGGTTTTGGGCCTCGAAAATCTCAAGGTAGGGCCTACTCTAACGACAGGTAAAAAGATGTGGAATAAGGCGTATAAAGAATGGAATGAAAATTAGGCCATGAAGTGAATTCAACGACGCAAAAATGAGGCGAAATAGAGTTACGACGAGGGAGATACAAGTGTTTGAACATGTGTTTGAACGTATAGATTTGAATCTGAAATTCTGCCTAAATTTTCATTAGTTTAATATGACGAAGATGGACGGAAGGGCCAGATTGAAATACGGATGAAACTCTAGGATTCAATTTATCGAAATTGAAATTTTGGAATTTAAATTAAAAAATACTGAAATTCTGAGTTTTTTCTTTTATTATTTAAAATTAACCATTCTTTTTTAATTCCATATTCGTTTCTTACCATATAATGGGCAGTGAAGAAGGTTTGAGAGCCCTACTCGTTGATCACTCATAATAGCTCATGAATTGAGGCCTAACCCAGATCTGGGCCTTTTAAGGCCGGCCTGGCCAATTTCCAAGGCTAAATGAACCATTGGAAGAGATGTGATGCGACGCAAATGGAGGAATACAACTCTTCTGCGGAAGGAGTGCGCGTTTCTCCAACCAATAGAAACCCAGGATTGAGTCATCAAACCAATAAAACGCCTCCACGTGGGAAATTCAACGTCGCTTCAAGCTTTCCTCATTAACATAATATATTATATTATATCCCAACAAACACCAACGACTCAGTACAGAGAGAGAGATCGGCAGTTGAGAAAATAAACTAAAGGAATTTTCTCGTTTCTTCGTTTTGCATGCATTCTCTTTCTCTCTGCCGCATTCGATCTTGCATTTTCAAGCACTTTCTCGTCAGAGAAAGTTTTCATAGCTTTTCCCGATCTGGTGATTCCGGCGGCGTTTGCAAATCAAGTCTCACGGCGCCGGACTACGCCGTGTTCTGGTGCTCGCCATTTGCATCGCCGGCATTTGGTCGGCTTATATTTACCAAGGAGTCCTTCAAGAGACTGTGTAAGTCCTCTCTCTCTCTCACTCTCAGCTCTAATTTGATCTTTGGTCTCGCTGATCAAGTGTAGTTTTCGAATTGTTGTAATTTCGATTCCCTAGATATCAATTTCAATTGTTTAGAGTTCTAGGACTAGAAATTTTAGGATGTACATATTTGAATGCTTTTAGTCTGTAAAAATTCGTTGTTGATTAATAATTTTGTGTCTATTTTAAAGAATTATTCTCTGTATCATTCGATCATCTCAGCTCCTTCCATATCTCATTCCGAAATACTCCAAGACTGAAGAACTTCGATGTGCTAGGGTTCCATGTCTATTCGATCATCTCCTTCCAGAAATACTCCCAAGAGAGTCTGAAGAACACTTCGAAGGTGCGATTGAAAGGTTTAATCGAAGGTGCTGCTGATTGATTCTCTCCTTCGAAGGTGTGATTGAAGAGGTAAGTTCATCTTCGATTCTTTTCCCTTTTCTTTTTCGATTCTTTATCCTCTATCTTTCATTTTTTTTCCCCAGATTTTTGTGCTGTTTCTTCGCTGCAAACGATCGATTCTTCTCTTCTCTTTGGTTTTCTCTTTCTTTGATCCTTCGTCTTCTTCTTCATTTTTCTTAAACTCTCTCTTCTTTTCCTTTTTTTTTTTTTTCTGATATATGTCCAGATTTGTTGAACTAAGTTTTGTCCTTAGTATTATTTTTTTTTCCTGATATATGTCCAGATTTTTGAACTAAAATCTGTCCAGATTTGTTGAACTAAGATCTGTCCTTGTTTTTTTTTCCCCCCTGATAGATGTCCAGATTTTTGAACTAAGATCTGTCCCTATTTTTTTTTAATTTTTTTTTCTGATATATGTCATATATATATGCAATATGATATTGGTTGTAAAGCTTGATGACAAATTGAAATCCCTTGACACCTTAAATTCTCTTTCGTAGCAGTTTATTTTGAGGGGAGGGATGGGGGTTTTGTAACTGAAAAACAGTGCATTAATTTGTGATGCATAACCATTGGTTTTGAGTTAAGTTAAGTTATCAGTCTGTTTCCACATTGGTTAATTTCCTTGCAATGCTTGATGTTGTGGGTGGATATGATTGGTTATTGTTTCATTGTCTTTCATGAACAAAAATTGAGAGATACTTTGTAGGTCAATGTGGGAATCAGATTTAAAGGTGTTGTAGTGTCCTTGTTCTTGTCATACTTGTCACTGAAATATATATTTTATTCAATATATTCAATATATTAGATCTGTCCAAATATTTAATTTTCCCTTTGGTGATGGCGTTGTTGAATTGAAATCTATATAATAAGGGAGAAAGGTTTTTGAATTTATCCTAGAGAAAATTTTGCTACTAGGACATTTTAATGGTCATGATTCACTTGCGTATTTAGATAGACGGATGAGATGAGCCCCTTTAAATATATATCAATTTACTTTCCGCCCAAACGCTAAACTTCCTACTCACCCACGTCTCATCTCCATTCTATCTTTAAGATCACTCTGTTATTCTATCTTTATCTCCTCCCTTCTTTGTTCTCACCCACCCCATTCCCTCTTTATCTCTCTCTCCCTCCCTGTTCTTCTTCTTCCATACCCTCGCTCCCGAAACTGCTGCTCTCTAGCCCTGTTCTTCTTCTTCCATACCCTCGCTCCCAAAACTACTGCTCTCCAGGTAAGATCACTCTCTCATAAAAGAGACCCGTTGAGTTCCCTCTCTCTCTCTCTCTCTCTCTCTACTGTGCTTCACAAGTTGGGATCATAGTTTCGATCTAGGGCTTTCGAAACAATGATCTTCAAGATCACTTTTCCCTCTGTCGGGACAAACAGATCTCACTTTACTTTCTCGATTTTCATTTTAGCTTAGCAAACTGAGACGAATATTCCTTTAAGATAAAGTTCGGCACTTGCTTTATGTCCATTTATTTTTTTTGTATGTTGAAAGTTTAACATGGAATAACAATTTTTTTGCATCTACTAAATTAAGTAGTCTAAAGCCCCCATCCATAACATTAGTTTGCCATTTTATGACTTCAAAGCCAGCAAGGTTAACATTTAAAATCATACAACCATACATCTAATTGCTTAAAGTAATCCTTTAATCCCAAATATATATATTTGCATTGTTATCATGCTGTATAGCATTGAAATGGGTTATTGTTTAATAACAATGAATTATGAAATATTATAAGCAGACAGTGAATTTGGTCCTTGGGAAACCAGTTAGCAACATGTCTCAGATAACCCTAATCATATTATTAGATTTTAGAATAGCATCAACAAAAACCAAATAAAAAAAAAAAAACCCATGAGCAAATGCCCCAGCAAGCACAGCAGTGAACAAACAGTCCCTCAAAACAGGGTTATGTCGCAATTGAATTCGAACTGAAAATTGAGAATGCAAAGATTAAAACACTGAATGAATAAAACCCATTATTAGAAAAATACAATTTAGTAAATTTACAATGAACCAACATAAGGAAATTAATAAAAAAAAAAAAAAACCAGAACTACTACTTACTGAGAGGAAGAACAGGAGCATAAATTAGGGGAAACAGAAATTTCAAAGGGGGTCCTTTGTTTGTTTCCTAGCAGCAGCCTGCCTTGGAAAATAAATTTATACATCCAACTTCAGTAAACAAGAGAGAGAGAGAGAGAGAGAGAGGATCTGATATGATATGATTACCAAAACTACAAACACAATGCATGAAATTACACATATGATTGAGGAAGTATGTATATCATTTATATAGAAAGAACTTACTGGTTGGAGGGATCGGAAGGCGACGCCATTGTAGTTGTAAACTCAGAAAAAGACAATGAGTGAGAGAGAGAGAGAGAGAGAGAGAGTCGTTTTTGTTGGGCTGACCGCGAAGGAGGTCTCGCACAATCTCAGTTTGTGTAAATTTCTAGAATTCTCTCACTTCTAATACTTCGTTTTCCAAATTTTCCACATTTCGCAGTAGCTTGATTCGATCCGAGAAATTTCGAGCTTTCATTAGGTTTTAACTGAATTGTAATTGAAGATTGCGATCATAGTTTTGCGTTTATTCTTTGATTTTATTCGAACTGTGATGATTAGTTGGGTAATGATTTCAGTTTCTGCTTGAAATTTCAGATTTTGGCTTAAAAGGCTTGCGGAGAAAGCAGAAAATAGAGTTTCTGCGAAGCATTAGGGTTAATTTTCAGGTGAGATTCTAATTGCGAACATATAAACTTCTAATGCTTCTTTTTCTCACAGTTTATGATTTGAATGGAAAACAAAACAATGTAAGATAAAAAAACCATCATCGATCCATCATCTTCTTCTTCTATTTTTTAATTTTTTTTTTCTTCTTTTCCTCAGTTTTCTCAGCAACCAGAGTTTAGTTAGTGTCATGGTTTATTTATGGTTCAGTATTTTATTGTAAATGGCTGTTTCAATTTTTGTGCTTTAGACCCTCATTCTAAGCAGTTTGCTTTCTGATTAAATGTGGTGACTATGTACTTCATTTTATCATGTTTGATTTCTCTAATTGCAAACATATGAACTTCTAATGCTTCGTTTTTTCACAGTTTATGATTTGAATGGAAAACAAAACAATGTAAGATAAAGGATTCAAAATCATCTTCTTCTATTTTTTATTTTTTATTTTCTTCTTTTCCTCGGTTTTCTCAGCAACCAGAGTTTAGTTAGTGTCAAGGTTTGTTTATGGTTCAGTATTTTATTGTAAAAGGCTGTTTCAATTTTTGTGCTTTAGACCCCCATTCTAAGCAGTTTGTTTTCTGATTAAATGTGGTGACTATAGACTTCATTTTATCATGTTTGATTTATACCTCCTCCTCCATCATATAACAGAGTAAAATTGATTTGTTAATTAGGTATTATCTGGATATCACCACCACCGCAGCCACCGTCATCGTCTGTGCTTCGAACCCCCTCCGGTACCTCTTTTCCTCTCTCTCAAACCCTGTGTCTCTGAGGTTTAAATTGATGTTCTTTGTGGCTGTGTCTGTTCAAACCAGTGAGAGAGAATGTCTTTGTTATAGTTCTCTCTCAAACCCTGTGTCTCTGAGGTTTAAATTGATGTTCTTTGTGGCTATGTTTGTTCAAACCAGTGAGAAAGAATGTCTTTGCTATAGTGACAAATCTCTTTGATCCATGTTTAAGAATTTCAATATTTATTGGATCTTAAAGTATACGTACTCAAAATAATGAACACCTACATGACAGTGGCTAACCAACCTAATTGGGGAAAAACTTAAAAAAAGAAAAGAAAAAAGAAAAAAGGAAAAGGCAACATATAATAATTCTTGCAAAATAAAATTATGAAAGGGTTGGATAGTGCATGAAAAAGAAATAAGTGTAGTACCAAGCAAGAAACACATTTACATAACTTCAAGAACATTTCAACAGAATTCAGAGGTTAAGGAAATAATAAAAGGTGTAGTTGCCTTGCTGCTGCGCAACTCACCTACTGCCACTGCTCTATCCCTCTCTATCTCTGCTTTTTAGCAATCAAAGCTTATTTTAGGAAGTTTGTTGAAAATTAATTTTTTAATTTTTTTAAGAAAACATATATAAGAATAAATAAAAAATTAATGTGACTGAAAATAAATTTGAAGTCAAAAATTAATTTTTATTCAAATTCCCAAAACACCCCGAATTCATCACTCATGAAACGTTTCTCACTATGTGTCATCTTTCACATGAATTATACAGCTTTGATTTTCTGGCAGCAATTGCCGACCATCTATATATGATATCTACTTTGATAAGTACTGCACTTTGTGATAGGTTGGTATAGAGGATTCACAATTTATATGACCCCACCTCATTTATGTTTCTTTAATGTTATTGGATTTTTTTATATTTCATATCATGATATGTGATCAGATTATTTGATTTGTGTATTTTATATTTTAAAAAAATAATAATTCACAAATAATTTTTGTTTAAGAATTTCAATATTTATTGGATCTTAAAGTATACGTGGTGATTAAAAAAGAAGATTTAACCCATACTCAAAATAATGAACACCTATATGACAATGGCTAACCAACCTAACTGGGAAAAAACTTAAACAAGGAAAAGAAGAAAGAAAAAAGGAAAAGGCAACATATAATAATTCTTGCAAAATAAAATTATGAAAGGGTTGGATAATGCATGAAAAAGAAATAAGTGTAATACTAACCAAGAAACACATTTACATAACTTCAACAACATTTCAAGAGAATTCAGAGGTTAAGGAAATAATAGGCTCATATCGCATCTCTTCTGTAATTGGTGGTATAAGAGATTCCGGAACCCATTCATCGCATAGCTCATCTATTTCCTAGAAAAACCAAGCAAACACTTGAAAAATGTTAGGTTGTCAAATTGTTTATGGTACAAGAGCTACTATCTTCAAACAAGGGCACATAAAAGACTCATAATAGTTGTTTGGGCCCTTCAATCTTAGTTTTACAACCATTCATGTATACATAGTTTGAGCCTCATTTACCTCATTGCCTTTGGAAGTCAGCAAGTTCTCCTAAACTTCAGCTCAGTATCTATTTTCAATAATTTACGAATATAACTCCACTATTATTAACACTCTCAAATCCAAGGCAGAGTTGTTTTGCAATTTTCAAATTGGACAGACCCTATGTGAATGGATCAATAATTATCAATTTATCATCATACTTGCATTTGCAAGCAAGTAAACCTTGAACAGCTGCAAATCTATCTATATATGCCTTCCAAAGGCACCTCAATTGAGAACAACCAGTTTTCTTTCTATTCTGAGGTGGAAATAAGAGGTCCTACATTTTGGGGTTGTTTGTTCCTGTTAGCCAGTGTGTTACTTCCACCTCAGAATCGATTTTGGAAGGCATATGTTTGTTCCTGTTATTGTTAGGACCTGTTATAGGACCTATTAGCTAGTGTTTAATCAGCAATGTTTATAGGACCTGTTATCAGCAATGTTAGGACATGTTAGGACCTGTTATTGGAAGGCATTACTGATTAAACATGTATTTTGGAGGTCCTAACAGGTTGCTGATTAAACATATAATCAAACATTACTAATTAGAGCATGTTCACAATCGAACATTGCTGATTAAACATATATTTTAGAAATAACAGGACCTGTTCCAAAGGCATATATTTTGGAAGGCATGTAGTCCCCTGTTATAGGACCTGTTATAGGTCCTACATTGCTGCTGATTAGAGCATGTTCACAATTGATTTTGTAGTGTGTTCTTATATGCCTTCCAATATGTAGTTTAAATAGTGTTGCGATTACAATTATATTATAATCCTAACATTATTTACACTGTGCCTTTAGGCACGGGCATATGCTAGTATATTAGTATGTCTTTTAGTTTTGTAGTTCTCTTTTTAGTTTTGATATTTAATTTTAATTTGTAGGTTGGATCCTTTAACCATAATTATAAAAAATAAAAAAAAATATCGGCGTACCGCAGTCGTACCCTTATCATACTTTTTTGAGATTTTGCCGTATCGGCGTACCCACACTTGTACCCGTACCGTACTCGCATCCGCACCCGTGCTTCTTAGGCAAATGGAGTCTCACAGCGCCGGACTACGCCGTGTTCTGGTGCTCGCCTTTTGCGTCGCAGGCATTTGGTCAGCTTATATTTACCAAGGAGTCCTTCAAGAGACTGTGTAAGCTCTCTCTCTCTCTCTCTCTCTCTCTCTCTCTCTCTCTCTCTCACAGCTCTAATTTGATCTTTGGTCTCGCTGATCAAGTGTAGTTTTCGAATTGTTGTAATTTCGATTCCCTAGATATCAATTTCAATTGTTAGAGTTCTAGGACTAGAAATTTTAGGATTTACATATTTGAATGCTTTTAGTCTGTAAAAATTCATTGTTGATTAATAATAATGATTAATGTTTGCGTTGATTGATGGCTTGGTCATTATCATCTTGTGAATATACCACTCTTTAAAAATTGTGATTTCTACATTCATAATGGCATGACTTGTGCATTGCATTGACGACCATGATGCTCTCATTGCAAGAATTTGTTTCCCCAAAATTTAAGTTACACCTTCTTCTGGGTATATTTGTGGTCTCCTAAATTATTCATGAAGATTGATATTTTTTTTTTTTTGTAATTGTTATGAAACCCTTCAGGTCCACCAAGAGATTTGGCCCAAACAAAGAGAGGTTTGAAAGCCTAGCATTTCTGAATCTGACACAGAGTGTAGTTTGTTTCATTTGGTCATTTATTAGTAAGTTTTTATATTTTTATATTTTTTTTAATCTTAATCTTTGTTTCTTGTCTGTGTGATTTTTCCCCTTTAGTTGGATTCAGATGTTACAGTTAAGTAATTAGTTTAATGTGCTGTTATGGGTCAGTGATAAAGCTTTGGTCTAGTGGTAGTAATGGCGGTGCTCCATGGTGGAGTTACTGGAGTGCTGGCATTACAAATACAATTGGCCCAGCTATGGGGATTGAAGCTTTAAAGTACATCAGTTATCCTGCCCAGGTATTTTCAATTTGTTTCCATATTTGACCCTTTCTATGCAACTCTTTTTATCTATTTGTTAAAAGTATAGCCCTTCGCCATTATCAATGTCACTTGGGGAAATTGTAAGATTTTGATACAATTTTTATACCCAATGATACCAAAATCTCACAAGTGAACCAATGAGCCAACCTCTCTACAATGTAAACAATCAAGGATAATACCCATTTTCAAACCATAGTTACCTATCAGGCCACTGAGGGGCCATTGCTTGCTCTGCAATGGTGAAAGTTTAGGTTGTCAAGTGTGAGGACATGGGTTGAATATGAGTTTGGTTGCTTTGTATGTCAATAATTATCTGGTCAGGCTTGCGCTCAGTCCTTGGCACCCACTATGTTCTTTAATTTAACCAACACTGGGCGATAGGCTTTAGTTGATTGAAAGGTAAATTGTCTACCATCAAGACTGTCTCCCCCCCACCCATGTTCAATTTTCTTTAACCATTTTTTTAAAGTAACACAACAAATGCATTTGTGGTTTTAAATGCTTATTATTCTATTACTATCACTTGCAGGTCCTTGCAAAATCTTCAAAAATGATACCAGGTGAGTTCTTGACATAATTTTAAGCATGGTTTTTGTTTAACCTAATTGATTAAGGCTGTTTCATCCTTTTGACTTTCCTTCTGACTTTGATTATAAGTTTGTACTTCCTCTGGCGCCTTTGTGTGACATTTTTTTTTGCTAGTGTTACGCAAAACGACTTTAAAAGTAATACTTAACACACTTCAAAGGGAAAAAAAAAATAAAAATAAAAAAAATAAGAGAATTTCTTCATCTCAAAGAATTTATCATGACCTCTTTCAATAAACTCAGCAAGCAGGTGATAGTTTCTTCTATAGATTCATCTTATTAGTAATAGAGAAACTACGGAATTTTTGGTGTAGACTAACTTTGGAATTGACACCTGCAATGTGAGATCAACTAGACATATATTCATTGTTGGTAGGTGTGGGAATATGATAAAGAAATTGTGGTTTTCTCCGTTTGCAAATAGATGATGAGAAAACATTCACATGTTAATAAGGAAAAAGGAAGGCACACGTGTTATGTGCCCTGTCCATTCTTTTGTTAGTTAGAAGACCATTTTTTCATTTCAATGGGTGGGAATTTTTATTGTAAATTTCTTTGTTAATCAAATCAAGAATTCATAGCTGTAGTGGTTTCTGTGGTTAACAGATGTGATATTTTCTCTTTATGCAGTGATGCTGATGGGTAGCTTAGTTTATGGTATTAGATACACTTTTCCAGAGTATGTCTGCACTCTCCTGGTTGCTGGTGGTGTTTCTATGTTTGCACTTGCAAAGGTGAGGAATATACCAGTCATTCTATTGGAACTATGGGCTCCTCTTTTCAATTATTGTTTTGGTTTACTTTCTTTTTTTAATTTTTTGATAGTATGCTGGGCCAAAAGACATAGGTCTGTGCCTGATAAATTTAGTTTGGACAAACAATTGAATCCTTTACTTTTCTCTTGTTTTTAATTGATGTGTTTCAGACTAGCTCAAAGACAATAAGCAAGCTGGCGCACCCAAATGCTCCACTTGGATATGGGTTGTGTTTCCTTAATCTTGCTTTTGATGGATTTACAAATGCTACTCAAGATTCAATTACATCAAGGTATTTCAGTCCAAAAAAACAAAAAAATTTGCTATTGCCAATTATTCTTATTGATTCTGCTGGTGGTTTTCTCATATATATGTCTTGATTTTTCTAATAGTCTGCTAGTTAGGAAGCAATCATAGAACATGAACTTCAAGCACTTTCTCTTTTTTTTTTTTGACCCTGACCTTCATTTTTTTTTTTTTTTTGTGTGTGTGTGTGTGTGTTGGGGGAGGGAGGGTCATATTTGAGGGAAAATATGGTATGATTATTCTCAAACTAACAAAGAGTGTTGTGTCAGAAAATTTTCAGGAACATGTTTAGAAACTTGTCCACATATCCAATGAAGCTGCTTCTTGTTCCTTAGCATTTTAGAACTCTTTTGGTAATTCAAAATACTTTACACCTTACAGGCTCAAAGAATATCCTGTTTACCCTGAGGCTGTGTTTGGGTTTAGGATCTGAAGAGGGGTTTGTGGAGGGAAAGGAAAAGATAAGGAAAAATTGATGTATTTAGCTCCTATTTTTGTCACTTTCCCTCTCCCTCACAAATCCATCCAAATCCTAGTTCCAAACGCAGCCTGAATGTCATGTGAATTTTTCACAACAGGATTTCAGGAAGCTTTGATTTACCATGAAGATAATACTAGGCAGATAATAACAACCTTGTGACAGTTCAAAGAAATAATGTTCTCTTTGTTAAATATAGCAATTATATATTCCGTCTATCATATATATCATATTATATTATTTACTATATTTAAGATTACGATACTTAAGTTTCTCTCCTCCTATATAAAGGAGTCTTGTATACATTGTTACATTATTATTTAACACAATATTTAATACAATACATATTTCTCTTTCTCTTAGATATTGTAACATGGTATCAGAGGTTAATTACCTAGTAATTTCACTTTACCGGCGGACGGCAGCCTTGCCTTGGCCGCTTGCCGGACCTCAACCCATTCCACTACCATATTTTCTTTCAATATTGCTTCATGGTGATCTTTTTCTCTGTCCACTAATTTATTCATATCTCAAATATCTCTATTATATTTTTTTTTACTCGCAATCCATTTTTTTGCATGTTTCTGCTCCATTTTGTCTTTCCTTTTGTTTCAACCTCAAATAGATTTCTATCTTCAAACCTATTTGAGTTTGAGAAGGGGATCATGGTGAGCATGGTGATATACCATGTAAACCACCTAAGCCACCCTCTATGGCACACTACCCAAGCCCCCCCCTCTGGTACACTATCCAAGCCGCCTCTTAGCGCATAAACCAAGTCGCCCCTTGGTGCACAACACAAGTCACCCCCTTGGCGTGCCACCTAAGTTGCCCCCTCTGGTGTACAACCCAAGTCGCCCCCTCTGGCGTATCATCCAAGCCGCCCCTTGGCGCACCACTAAAGTCATCCCCTGGCGCACCATCCAAGCTGCCCCCTAGGGCACTTTCTAATAAGTCGCCCCCTGACTCACTCAGTCATCTATTGCCACTCTCGTTCAGCATCATGTCATGAGTTATGTGTGTGTCACACTTGCTGATTCAACATCTAGTTTTCTTCATCGGTCTGGCATGACCCTTTTAAATTGTCCCGACATTGATTTCGGTTAGTCTCTACAGCGGTCTGACATGACTCCTTAAATTTTCTCGACATTGATTTCAGTCAGTTCCTACAACGTCCGACATGACCCTGTAATCTCGACATTGATTCCGGTTAGTTCCTATAACGGTCCAACATGACCTTAAACTGTCCTGACATTAGTTCCGACCAATATCTACAACGGTCCGGCGTGATCATAAATTGTCTCTCAGTATTAGTTCCGACCTGTGATCTATCTCAAGCACCCCAATGCACCCATCTGGACTTTGCCTATTTGCCTCGGATTTATCCATATTTTATTTTATTTTTAGTTTTATTTCATATTTTAATTTATCCTTTGAAACTCCAGTTGGCATCCCTCCTTGAGTTTGAGAGAGAATGTTAAATATAGTAACTATATATTCTGTCTATCATACATACCATATTATATTCATTGTCATATTTAGAATTACTATATTTAGGTTTCTTTCCTCCTATGTAAAGGAGTCTTGTATATGTTGTTACATAATTATCATACTTAGGTTTCTCTCTCCCTCTCTCTCTCTCTCTCTCTAAGATATTGTAACTCTCTTGATAAACCACCATGCTTTGCTTCAAGTCCAAACACTAGTCATGTCATCACATCCCAAATGTTTTCAACTTTTTTCCTTTTTTTTTATTCTACGTATTATTTTGCACATTGATTAAAGTGCTTGGTGAGTGTTTTCATTGATGCACTCTCAATTGTTTGTCATCAATCTATAATTGCTCGCACACCTTTTCTGAATCAGATTGCTTTCACTTGCTCAGGTACCCGAAGACAAGTGCTTGGGACATAATGTTGGGTATGAACTTGTGGGGTACCATTTACAATACAGCCTTCATGTTTGGATATCCGGGCGCTAGTGGATACGAGGCAGTTAAATTCTGCAAGTTGCACCCAGATGCAGCATGGGACATTTTTCTCTACTGCCTGTGCGGTGCAGTGGGTCAGAATTTCATTTTTCTAACCATAAGTCGATTTGGTTCTCTCACTAACACTACCATCACCACAACTCGCAAATTTGTCAGCATTGTGGTGTCTTCACTTCTTAGTGGAAACCCGCTATCTACAAAGCAATGGGGGAGCGTTTTCATGGTCTTCTCAGGGTTGTCGTACCAGATTTACCTCAAATGGAGGAAATTGCAGAGATTGCAGAAGAAGAGAAAGCCCATGTGAAGTCCATGATATATTATTGGTGTAACCGTAAGGTTCAATATCACATTTTGAATATAGACGAATGTATCGGAGTAGATCTTATTTTTCAAGTCTCTCTACATATGCAGTTAGGGGAAGTTTTGACATGTCATGAGTTTTAAAACTAGTACCAGTTGGCTTCTGACTGAAATTTGATGTTATTAAATTTGTGATAATTATGTGAGCATTTGTTGTGTACCCAAGGTTAAGTACCTAGTAATTTCACTTTACCAGGTGGCAGCAGCCTTACCTTGGCTACCCGCTGGACCTCAATCCATTCCACTGTCATATTTTCTTTTACTATCAGTTGATAGTTTTCTTTTCCAGTCCACTAGTTTATTCATATCCCAAATATCTCTATCATATATATATTTTTACTCGCAATCCATTTTTTTTGTGTGTTTTGCTCCACTTTGTCTTTCCTTATGTTTCAATCTCAAATAGGTTTCTATCTTCAAACCTATTTGAGTTTAAGGGGGATATTATACTTATATCATGGTGAGTATGGTGATATACCATGTGAACCACCTAAGTTGCTCCCTCTGGCACACAACCCAAGCCGGGGAATATGATAAAGAAACTGTGGTTTTCTCCGTTTGCAAATAGATGATGAGAAAACATTCACACATTAATAAGGAAAAAGGAAGGCACATGTGTTATGTGCCCTGTCCATTCTTTTGTTAGTTAGAAGACCATTTTTTTCATTTTGATGGGTGGGAATTTTTATTGTAAATTTCTTTGTTAATCAAATCAGGAGTTTGTAGCTGTAGGGGTTTCTGCGGTTAACAGATGTGATGTTTTCTCTTTATGCAGTGATGCTGATGGGTAGCTTAGTTTATGGTATTAGATACACTTTTCCAGAGTATGTCTGCACTCTCCTGGTTGCTGGTGGTGTTTCGATGTTTGCACTTTCAAAGGTGAGGAATATACAAGTCATTCTATTGGAACGATGGGCTCCTCTTTTCAATTATTGTTTTGGTTTACTTTCTTTTTTTTTTTATTTTTTGGTAGTGTGCTGGGCCACAAGACATAGGTCTGTGCCTGATAAATTTAGTTTGGATAAACAATTGAATCCGATACTTTTCTCTTGTTTTTACTTTGATGTGTTTCAGACTAGCTCAAAGACAATAAGCAAGCTGGCGCACCCAAATGCTCCACTTGGATATGGGTTGTGTTTCCTTAATCTTGCTTTTGATGGATTTACAAATGCTACTCAAGATTCAATTACATCAAGGTACATCAGTCCAAAAAAACAAAAAAATTGATATTGCCAATTATTCCTGTTGATTCCACTGGTACTTTTCTCATATATATGTCTTGATTTTTCTAATAGTCTGCTAGTTAGGAAGCAATCATAGAAAACACACTTCATGCACTTTTGTGTGTGTTGGGGAAGGGAGGGTCATACTTGAGGGAAAATATGGTAGGATTATTCTCAAACTAACAAAGAGTGTTGTGTCAGAAAAATTTCAGGAACATATTTAGAAAGGGTTTGGCTTTGGTCCAGTCCAAGATTGGACTGGACAGTGCTGTTGGGCCTGTGGGGGCCCACCACGG